GCTTTGACTCTCAACTGAAGAACTCCCCACACGGAATAGTCCACCGGATTTAGGTCCGGCGACGAGGCTGGCTATTCCGAACTCGTGATGAATCGAGGAAAATTGACCGTGCACTAGGCTTGAATTGACCGTGCACTTCGCCTTGTTAGCGGGAGCAGATTCCTTTTGGAATGTCCAGACTTGGCTTCAGAAATAAAATTTGGCCCAAGGAATAGCATGATTTTTCAATATTTCTTCCAAATAGTATTCCTTGCTGATTTTCACTATGATCCACAAAAATCAGAACATCAAACATGCGATAAGAAATACTGGCCACGAGAATCTCCGATTCGGCAGCAGTAATGGTATCCGATAACACCCCACAAGTTCTCCATTGGATTGTGGACATTTAGGACTGGCCAATCAAGGACTTTGTTCTTTTGCGCTTTCAGCCTTCTGGAGTGTGCTCTGGTAGGAAGTCAATATCTCACGAGGCGTGATGAATTGCAACTTCTTTTTTCCCATTGCAGAAGCCTTCCCAGACCATCAGCGATCCGCCACCAAAGTTTTGCCTTGAGAAGAGTAGTGGGTCCTTGCGAAAGTCTCACCAGAAGTATCTGTTACCGTCCGGTTCATCAAGGTTCCATTTCTTCTCCTCAGAAAACAGACTTTCGCTTCATAGGATTTTTCATAATTTCTTTATGGGATTTAAATCTGCGGATCGGGATAGCCAGTCCAGCGTTTTCAAATCTCTCTGTTCCCATTATCCTGTCGAAACAAATGAGATTGACGCCGATGTCGGGAAGTGAACTTCACTTCCAATTCTTTATTGTGGCTGAACGCTCCCCACATCATCACCGAACCATCACCAAACTTTCTGCAGGAGAAGCTTCTTGTATCTTGTCTCAGACCTTTTCATCAGAAACTATTTGGCTCGTTCAAATTGAACTTCTTTTCATCGCAAAACACGATCTGGAACAGACAATGTTTGTGAATACATTTCTCCAATCGGTTGCCAAGTTGTTCTACGTATTCCAAACATGTTTTCTTTCCGTTGTTGTAAACTCTACGCGACAAGATTCCCCAAAGATTTTCTATGGGGTTCAAATCTCGGGATTGGGTTGGCCAATCGGACTTTTCAGTTTTCTTCGATCTTTCCAGTAGAACCAAGTCCCGTCGGGCCCGTCCAGATTGAACTTCTTCTCATCGGAAAACATGATCTTGAGCAGGCAATCTTTCTCAATGGTTCCCAAGTTGATTTTCACAGATTCCAGACGTGCTTTCTCGTGGTGATCGGTTAGACACGGTGTTTTCCCAGCTTCTGCCACAATATAACCGAATAATCCATTGGGTTCAAGTCTGGTGACGAAGCAAGCCATTCTTGAACCTGAATGAATTTCGGAAAATTGAGTATGCACCACTCTCGAGTGTCTTTGGCTTCTCCTGGTCCATCTTGCTGGTATATCCTATGTTGACTCCCAAAGTGAGATTTGGACAATAGCAGAACCTCGTTTTCTAGGATTTGCTTGATGTAATACTCTTTGTTGACTTTAAGAGGCACCCCAGATCATCACGATGATGGCATCACGGATCCGCCATCAAAATTCCTTTTAGTCGTCCCAATGTAACTTGTACGGTAGAGGAACGAGCTTGCCTCCGAACATGTTACATTGGAATCAAATCCGGGAGCATGCTGACCATGACAGTACATCCGTTTTTACGATTAGAACCCGTTCCAAGTCGAATGACACGGAAAGCAGTATTGTCCTGCTGAAAAACAAACTGACGGCGACTGAATCGACGACGAAACGGTAAAAGATCGCTCTAGAGGACTTCTTGGTAGTCTGTCGAGTTCATGCGACAATTGGTGGAATCTAAATTCAAGCATCCAGCCACGGAAAATGCTCCCGACGACACCATCAAACTGCCTCCTCAGAAATTCCTCTTGGTCAAAAACGGCTGGGTCTTTGCGCAAGTCGTGTCAGTATGACTTGTGCCCATCTGCCCCGTCCTGATTAAATTTTTTCTCATCCGAGAAAACAATATGTTTTTTCGAGCGAAGTCGGGATGACGTTTTTTTTTGTTATCGTCGGTGTTTTTTGGAGCAAGGAGCATGACTAGTGTAGTCCGTATTCAAAGCATACGACATTAACTTCTTGAGAAGATCCTCAAAAAATTTTGATATACTGTTGTATCAATTTGATTGACATAATTGAAATGATCCATTTCAATAGGTGTCCAGGCAGTACGAGACCCTCTGTATGCGGGAGATGTTTTTGATGGTCATCTTGGGTCTTCGGGGATAAACAAACATGACTTCAGCAAGTCCCTCATCAAATCATTCGTCATTATGCGTCTTTTTCCTGCTCTAACTTCGAGATTTGGACAATTTGAGGGAAGAAAGCCGGAAAGTTTTGCAAGAATCGTGAATTCTTTGGGCCCCATCCACGACATCCATCGATTGGGCATAGCTTGTGATTTGCTTGACAACTTTCTTCAACGACCCGGAAATTCCGACGTTACTGGGTTGGATATGTCCAGAGCATCGAGCTGGAATTGTCAATATTTTCAATTCGTGCGATGGAGTGTCACATAACTGATGGCGGTAGTATTCTTCGAACTGTTCCAGGAATCTACAATGAGAAGAGCATCCTTCATTATTGGGAAGACCACTTTCATCAGTTCTTTTGTAATGATGTGACTAGTATGGCAAGTAACTCCTTGGTTTGGAAGGTTTGGAATTTTTTTTAAATTGGCTCTTCGGTTCTTTCACGGTCACAAATAATTTTGGATGGAGCCCTCCATATGCCAAAATCAACAGAAGGACTGTGTAGGAATGTGTCATGGACGATTCATTCACTTCCAATTACGCAATGGGCGTTATTTGATCGTTCGAGCCGTATTCATTTTGATTTGGAATCCGGAGTGGTCCGCATATTGGATGGAACACACAATGGGGAAACTTGGTTGGCAGCCGTCACGAATTTTCTTTTCAATCCGATCACGATTTCGGACGAACAGTAGAAACGAATTTCGTGATCTTTCTAGAAGTGATTCCAAACCGTGCTTTCCAGCCATTCAACCAGCTTTCCGATCCAATGAAATTTTTGGGCACATATTTTCCTTCACACTGAAGTGGATAAATTGCTTTTTTTAGAGCCACTTTCATCATTTTCCCGGCATTGCGAGGTTGGTAGCACATTCAGATACAAATGGTATTGTCAAGATTGGGATGTTACTTCTATTCTTGGTATTGTTCTATCATTGATATGTTTTATTGCCTTTGCGAGGGTACCCATTTGGTGGATAACCATTGGTAGAGACTACCTTCTTGGCTAAGTCCAGGGAATAGTTCCTTTGATCAGTAGTGGAGTTGCCCGTGTCAGTTTTTTTGAATGATCCGCTTGATACCCGAATCCATACTTACAAGATGGTTCTTGTTGCTGGGTTTACGGTACCACTTACTCGAAGAAACCCTCGAGATCTCGACATTTGGGAACGACGTTGTAATTGTCAATCTACCTCCGAAAATGAATGGTTGGGTGGACTTTAATCGGGGCCTCAATGAGCGAGACGACTTCAACCTTTTTAGGGAAACATTGAGATGAGTGAGAGACACTCCGTACCACTCTATGTCGGAAGCTGTCTATGTTGGTTTGAAGAGCTTATGCGTCAAAACTTGCGTAAACCACTTTCCCGATCCTCCCTCTATACCCGGAATGGGTATTACCCAGCTTTCCATTCTTGATGTTTGCTTCCCATTCTATAATCTTTTTCTATCTCGTTTCTTCCGGTATTCTCCAGCTTTAGCAGAAAACAACACAGGTTTTGCATTTTTACTATTTACAATCACCAAATTCTGTGTCTGTCCGTTTGTTCCCGCTCAGCGGACCCTCGAAGTCTCTAAAAGACTGCAAATTCCCAATTTTCGTAAAGAATCGAAAATAGCAGCAAGATGGCGCCCGAACTTTTCATTTTTCAAAATCGTCCACCACCGCTTTGAATGATGCGTTATTGCCAAAATTTATATTGTTCACTTCTGTAAACAGATCAGCAGTACTTTGAAGGTGGCAGGCGACAAAATTGAAAAGCCGTCCAATTATTGTGATTATAACACACGATGGACGGCCTGTGTGGCTCCCTGAGACTACGCTCATTGGACTTTTTTTAAAGACATAGGGCTTTGCGTGGACACCCCTTTCCGAGAACAGCTTTTGGATTACGATACTCATAAACAAAGTCTAGGTGCTTTTCTCCTTTTCTGCCTCACTAAAAGTCCAGAACGTTTGACCGAAGTGTGTTTGGAAACTGGGACTTTCAACGCATGTAAGATATAGCTTGTACTCTTCAACACGCGCGTTGGGTTGTTCAAACAACAGCAAATCCCGTTGTGACTGCGTTTGATCAAGTTGCTCATTCAATAGATTAAATTTTCAAGTTCACAGAGTAAATCGAAGTTTGCTTTCTCAGCAAAAGACAGACAACAAACACGGGACATTGAGAAAAAAAATGAGGGAATGACTGATAAATCTGACGATTCTCGAACTTTTGTACCAGCTTTGAAGCGTCTTGCTCTTTGATTTCCTGGAAGCTCGATCAATTCGTGCAAAAAAGTTAGTCAAAAATAATATAAAACTAGAAATGAAATTTAAAACAACAAGAAAATAAAAATGTTAGGAATTTCTCTAAACTGATATTGAAGCTGAAATTGGTTGATCTAGCAATAAGCACCACTGTCCCATTATCAGTGTTACCAGAATTTTTGATACCGGATTTGACGAGAAACCAGACCGAAAAAAATTGACTCAAAAATGGCTAAATTGGTTTGCAAATTTGAAGACATAACTTTTTCACTTGCTGAATCGAATTGCGTTTACAAATGTATTGAAATTTTCTTAGGTTTTTAAAACACTCATTTGAGAGGAGGGACATATCTTTGTGACCCCGACTGTAGGGGGATGAGAGGATTCTGAAAAAATAACAAGTTTAACAACAATAACAAAAAATCTAACCATTTGGTATCACTTCTGGTAGGCATCCATTTTATTAGAATCAATTAGAGCTGCTTCTGCGCCTTCTGTTGGTTGAATGGGTCTTCTTGGTCGGCCAGGTCCTCTTGTGGATTCTGTGACCGTTACTCCGCTAACAGAACGTTCGAATGAAGACGTTGCTGGCAAATTGATTGTTGTTAGGGACGATCTTGGAACTTGAACTTGTCTTCCGCTCCAACGAGGTCGGCCTACGCCTCGACGAGGCTGCTGACTTCCGGGCTGTCCACTAGATGAAGGACGAGTATTGTTCACGTGCGGATTTGACCTCTGCCAACCATATCTTATCTTGAGTGGTCGCCCTCTACTTCTCCCTCGTGTAACGGTTTGGTTGGAGGTTGTTCCGGTTGGCACAATGTCATTCGTGAACCGCCCAGTGGAACTTGCAACGCTTCCATGCATTTGTTGATCAAATTCCGTTGCTTCAGATATCCTTCTTCCAACCACTTCGTCATCTTTTCGGTCTTTTTCTGTTCCTGTTCTGTTCCGATGCGGATGTTCTCGGTCAGAATTGGGCGAGTATTCTTTGTTAGCTGGCTCACGATCTTCACTACTATCTGAAAATGAGGAATGAAATCAGTTGAAGGAAAAAAAAATTATAATGAAAAAATTTAAAATTATGCACACCATGCGAATTTCGTGACGATGGTTTAGCATTAGCAACAGCTTTTTTATCCTGTCGCAGCGGAGACATCGGCGTCCGGGTTAGAGAAGCTGAAAACGCATCAGACAATGGTTCCACCGGTGCTCGATCCAAAGAGGTGTTCTCATCGACCCGATTGGTGGACTGTGTAGACGTTGAAGAAGACTCTTCTCTTCGGAATTTGACTTCCATTCTAGAACCCTCCTCGGTAGCAAAATCTGAAGAATGTAGTTGGCGTCGAGAAGCTCTCTTGAGCGAGCAAGAGGGAGCAGTTTCCATCGGCATAGAGTCTTGATCAATGTTCACTGGATCTTGGGAATTTCCCTCATCAATAGATCGCAGAGCACGGAGATAGCAACGGGGAACTTTTCTTGATGGACCGCAAGTTGTTGGTCCACTGGTGGATGGGCGATTGTGGTCCAATTCGTAATCCAAAAAATCTATCGGAGGCGGTTGGAAACGATTTGCAGTTCCGCTTGTGGAAGGCATGTACATGTCTTCTTCATCTATGGAATCTTCACGATTGAACTGACGAGATGCTTGGCTGACTGAAAGTTTGCTAGTAGACGGCTCATTAGTATCAGTCTTATTGTTTTCTTCTAGGGACAGAGACTGGAGCAGATTGTTCTGAATGAAATCTTCATTTCTATCAAATCGAGCGACAACTCCTTCTTCTCCAACAGCCAGCAAAATTTTTCCATTTTCAGAGAAGGCGGCCTGACGGAGTTGGCTGGTCCCAATTCTGGATACATACTCGCTGAAAATATTGATTTGATTACTATATTTCCGTGTTTGATTCACTCACTTATTTATGGACTTCAGGTTGAAGAACACCACCAGACCTTCACCGGCCGTGGCCACCCATTTCCGTGATAGGTCAACATCCATTTTTGTGAACCAATCTTCGGACATGGCCAGATTCTTCTTGTCAAGGTGTGTGACAGCCCGAAGTGGCCCGTCCAATTTTTTCTCGACGACATCTCCCCAGGTTCCGAACCGCCAAACCTTCAGTTGCGCTCGTTCGCCAGCAGATTTGGAAATAATGTATTTGACACCATTAAATCCAATGATACGCAGACTATCCACGCGATCAAAATGGATTTCGTTGGCCAGGTTGTTGACAGTTTTGACGATCAGTGTGTGTCCGTGTGGATCGCTAAAAATCATGTTTGGGTCTCAAAAACACAGTTTTGAACTTACAAGATTTTTTCAGCCAGTCTCAGCCTTGGGTCCATGTTCAGCTCGTCTCTGAAAACGAAAATATTTGTTTCAAAATCATGAGAGGAGCTAAAATAACTCACTTGATATTTTCAATCGATCTCCCTGCCTTGATTCTTTTATAGCATTTCTTCAAGTGGCTTTTAACATTCTCTTCAGAAAGATTCCAGCAGACAATCCGATGATCAAAACCGCCGCTGAATAGGGAGCGTCCATCGGGACTCCAATCCTGAAAAAAGGAGAATAAGAAATTCAAATTTGAGATTTTGGAAAACTTACAACTGAGAGGATTTTCGACACATGAGCCGCAGGGTTATTAAAAATAACCAAGCAATATTTTGCCCTGATGTGCCACACACGCACAGTGAAATCCGTGGATGCAGTGGCAAACATCCCCGGATTTGACGGATTGGTTCGGATGTCGTTGATTTCTCCTCTATTTCCTTCAAGAACCTGCAAATCATTCATTTTTCAATTTGTCTAGAATTCAAAATCCTTACCCGCTTCATCTTATTATCGACCACATTGACGACGTAGATAAGTCCTTTCTTCCCAGCCGTCACTATTTTGGACGAATAGTTGTCTATCTCATCACAGACCCATGCCACCCTATAGAGTTCATCGTGATCCTTCTGCATTGTCGGATCCACCTGAAGAAAAACAATTAAACTTAATTTTTCCCAAAAGTTTGTTGCTTCTATAAGTTCTCAGCTACATCTACCGTAAAACCTGTAATAGAAGGGCCCCCACATTGTCAAGTTTGAGCTCAATTATCTCTACTCCTATAAAAAATATCAAAATAGTATAAACTGATAAAATGTTTGTGATATTAAGACAAACGATTTTTTAGTTGAAAATTTTTTGTAACCTTCTACATAAATCAAAATGAATTGGCTCAAAAGCAAAAGTCAAAACCATTTTATACCGCATTTTTTCTATAGTACGACTATTTTTTTTTATATAGTGTGACTATTTTCTTTTTTCTAACCAAAACTATTTTTCTTGTCATTAGTTTAGCAAATTTTCAATCAAAAAATTTTTTTGAGAACATTTGGTGTAACTTATTGAAAAATGAAAACTTACCATAAACTTGAAGGTTATCGTGTTGAGCAGCTCAATGCAGTTCCTATCCGCCGGAAGCCGATAAATATAAACCTGAAAATGTTGTTCCATTCAGAAACATTGGAAAAAATCATAATACTCACAAACTCGTTTCCAACGGCTGCAGCGAGTAGGTCCTTGTTTCTGTCCTCTTCCGTTTTCCTCCAGGAAGGTTTGATTGCGCAGCCATTCAAAGATTTTCCGTGCTTGGTCGTGATAGTCGCTGACGTGAAGAATGGCGGTGGATTGGCGGTGTCCGTGGTGTCGGTGGCATCTTCTCCAGTCTCCTTCTCTTTGTCTTTTGGTGTGGTTTTGCTCATCTTCGGAAAATTCGCTGAAAATGAGAATTTGAAGCAGTATTAGTCAAAAATTGAGTAAAAATGAAGATTTTGGGTTAATTAAAAAAGAAAAAAAAAGAAAAATGATAATTTTTAGTCTCACAAGACGCTCTTCAGCAAAAAAAATTAACCACTTTTATAGGAAATTGTCGAAAAATCTATTTTCAAACCCCACGTTTCAAAGTATATGATTCGCGGTAAAAGAAAAATCAATCGCGCTCCAATGCGAAAACTCGTAACGGCACTTGCTACGGCGACCAACATTATTGAAGAACAGAGAAAAGAGACTAGTGAGAAAAAACACGGGCCGCGTCGCGTACGCAGCGCGGATAAGAGACAAGAGGGGGAAGAGACGTTGTATGGCCGCTATGTGTACGTGCGTGTGAGCGTGTATATCTGCCGCGTTCACCGAGAAATTGTAATAGCCCGTAGAGTGCAACACAAGAAGAGAGGAAGACGCAAGAGAATAATTATAAATCGATTCTCTTCGAATTAACGGGAATAAGAATATTGGGCATTAAAATTAGAAAAATGGATTCGGATTCGAAATTTCAGAGATTGTACTTTGTTATCATGATTTCAAAGAAGAAGAATTCGAAATTATGCATTAAAAATTTCTGAATACTGAATTTTCAGACTTAAAAGAGGGAAAAAAGCAATTTTTCAGAGTTACAGTTCACGTGACTATCGTTTCTTTTTCAGATACATACATATGAAACCCAAGTGCGTGGGTGTCAGTCTGGGAACCTGAAAGTAAAACAAATACAGCTTCATATCTAATACAAAAATATTTATTAAAAATTAAAATATGGTACATCCAGTGGATCTTATTTTTTAATTAAATGTTCTTATAGTCGTTGAATAATGGGTTCTTCGCAAAAATATCCATGAGAATTGGCCTAGCATCTTCTTCGTGAAGTGGAGAATCGCCAAAAATCCTATTGTCCTTCTGCATTTTCGAAGAATTCTTCATACAGCTGAAAATTGTTTATTTAATATCCAAATTAAAATAAATTTCTTACGTTAGGAAGTCGTTTTTTTGTCAATTTCACACTCGTGTAATCCCGGAATTGCGGATTTTTTTTTTCAGATCTCCATCAAAATCGGTTCGGCTTTTTCGTTGGGAAGTGGGAGTGGAGATGGAAGTATTTTCTGACCTGAAAATAATATTTTTTTTGACTATGTGCGAATAGATAGGAAGAACTTACTCGAACTTTGTCCAATTGACGTTCTGAAGGCAAAGAAGCAATAGTTGCTTTGTCTGGCTTACGGCTGAGAGCAAAAGCTTGTTCCATTTTCAATTTTTGCTCCTTTCTGAGTTTACGGAACTGAAAAAAGTTTGTAGTCTATGTGTTGTTAGAAACTAAATGTATACCTTTAACATTGTTGGATTTCGCTTTCTTCGCATTTTGGAGGAATCAACAGTGGATAATACAAAATGTTTTCAGATAACGGATTTTAAGAATATAGAAAGAATACTATAGGAAACAGAGAATACTTAGAAAAATCAATAGGGAAGGAACTCTCCAAAAACCATTCACTTAGGGTTTTTGGAGAGGTCCCAGAAGAGACGTCTATTCAGAAAGTCGTCTTGAAGAGAGAATGAATACTACTGGTTGGTACCTGATGGTATATATACCCCCGGGGGGGCGGAGTTTTTAGGGTCTATCCAGGTGGGTAGAAAGACATAGGGCGGACTTTCCTGTCCGTTGCGCCACTTCTCTGCGTTTCTACAACATCTATTCTCTCTCAGGTATGCCCCTGAGGGAAAAGACCTGGAGTGGGAGTTGAACAGGTGGGGTTGATTTACAATCCCATTGTGCAGTGACATTCAGATTAACACATTAGATACCTTCTTTACATCTATTAATTTACAAGTCTAAATACACCTATTGTTTTATGAGCATAATCTGGACGAATTAGACTGAAGACAGGCAATTTTTCCTATGGGAAAAATTCATTTAGGCAAGAGAATGGGGAGACAATATGGGTAATTCGAGAAAACAAAAATTCCGGTGTGCGGCTCCGGTTTGAAGAACAGGTAGATGGTAGAACGTCCATTTTCATAATAAATATTCTGAGCCAAATGAGAGCGTTCTCCTTCTGGAAATTGATACTGTGGTGATTAAATCAATGATGGGAATGGAGAAGATGATTATTGCCAATTTTTTAATGTTCCCTGAGTTCATCCGGAATGAAACGAAAAAGATAACATCAGAATAAAATGCAGCGTGCCAAATAACACTTGAAAATGTTAGTTTAATTCTGAAAATCGTTGGCCCAAGACATGCTTTCTGCCAAAAAGGCCGAAAAAATGACACGTCTGTTAAGATCCATCAGTTTCCATGTAATTCGTGGACGAAATTGCGAAATACAGGTAGGAAAAAGCATTCGCCGGTGTATTTACAGTGCCCGCTTTTTTAAAAATATGAAAAAACGTGTTTTTCAGTTGATTTTGACCATTTTTAGGAGTTGGGAGCTCGGCTGTCGATGGTTGGATTACTTGGAAAACTTCGAAGGTAATCAACAGATATAGATTAAAAACTTTGCATTTACAGAATTGTTCGAAAATTCCTAGTTTTTCAGTTATTTGCCGATTTCTGAAGGGCACCTTTTTTCATATTCTTGTACTGAAAAGGGAATTACTTGAAGTGTCCCCTCGATTTTTCTTAGATAAATGTCCCTTCTCTAGACTAGCACAAAACAAATATTATAAAGTAATCATAGGCAGGTCGAGCAGAATAGCAGAACGTTTTGTGATTATTTAATAAAAGTGGATCAAGTCCATTCAAAAAATCCTAACTTTGTACAAAGCAGAGGTAAAATGATGTGTTCACATGTATTTTATGGAGAAGATTACAGGCTACCAAAAAGACAATTTCGTATTTATTTTATCTTTGCAGGGAAGTTTCCAAATGATCCGATTGTGTGAAATAAAAAAATGTCGATTTTCGAAAAAAAAACGTATTTGGGAGACCATGTCTATTCGATTCACTTCATATCGTGATGCACAACTATGATCTCAAATTGTATATAGCTCACCGTTAATTTTTGACTTCTCGATCACGATTCTGTCAAAAAGAAATTAAAACAACTGAATTGATTATTATTCTCAAAAGTTCTATGTTGTACAGTGTGTGCCAAAAGTATGGTGACACAATTTTCGTGCGAGGTGGTGAACGCTGGAGAATGTTTTGAACAAACGTTTTATATCTATTATTTTCAGCATGTCTCAATTACCTCATTTTCAAAATGTCAAGTCACTAGGTCAATTTTTTCAGTTTTTTTTTCATCACTAGGTCAATTTTTTTCAGCTTTGGAGGGGATAGGATCTTCTAGGCTTCCCCCCTTTTTCTTCTGGCTCCTCTGGCTCCACTGTACGGCTTTGGAGGGGATAGGATCTTCTAGTTAATGCTTTTCAATGTTTTAACTTCATTGCTCGTTATGGTACTCGAATGTCTGTCTGGCCATTTTGAGGCACATGGTCTCTGAAAATCAAACTACTTGGGAATGTTCTTATCAAAACAAGATAACATACGCTTGGAAATGACATCTTCCACTTATAGTTTTTCCATCTCTTCTGTGATTTTGAAGACAAGAACGTCTGAAAAAATATCATTTGGACAGGTCGGCTGAGAATTTTTGTTAATAAAAACTGGGTTTTTTGAAAAAAAAAATTCAACTTTAAAACTATATTGAGTCAGTTTTTAGCCACTTTCTAGCCCAGTTGCTGATTGATTTTTTAAAGAATAATTTACAACAATTCTCAGGCTATTTTGAGGAAGTCTTTGATTACTTCAAGCCAACTTGAAGTATTTGAACTTTACTCAAACTTTTAATTTTGGACCCTAATCGTAGGCACCACAACAAAATTTTCAAAATAGATTTTTCCCAGTTTTTATTATTGGATTGTCTTCTCCTACTTTATAGAAGTCCATTCCCAAAATCTCAGCGAAAAATCTTCATTCAATCCCGAGTTACAGACCCTTTTGTACCAGACCTCCAAGTTGGGGTCATCGCTGAAATTTTTTTTATTTTGGCTGGAACTTTGGCTGAAAATTGTGTTTTACGGCGACAGTAGAAATTTTATTCTATTTCAAAATCCAATCTCCCAGTTCATAATCTACCAGAGTCCATCAACAAATTTGGGGGGCATCCAAGAAAGTCAAAAAAAAAAGAAAAAAGCAAAGTGGGCGGAGCCTAGTCGTGTGTATACTCATTTCGAAGCACAAAGCGTCAGAAACTCAATAAAAGTAATTTAAGTATACAATATTCAAATTTGACAAAGTTAGGCCTAGCTAGAAGGTTGTAATCGGGGGGGGGGGGGGGTGGAACTTCGGTATGAGACCTATATCATTCGAAAGCTGAGATTGAGACATTTTCAAAAATGTATTCTGATTTTGCTGAGGAGCTACCAGTTTCGAGAAAATCATAATGTATTTTTCAAAACTTGTAAAAAAGTTAAAAATAAGTATCCAATTAAAATTTTTCTTTGAAAAAAATGCGTTCATAGCATTTTGACAATCGCCACAAAAACCAAAAATCAAATCAAAAAACAATTACGGGAAGAGGAATCGAACCTACAACCGGTTGGATACTCTTCATCCCTCCTCGCCATTACACCACTGCTGTCTGTTTCTTTCCCTTCCCCCAATCTATATAAGAAAGAGCAGAGGCGCGGCGCCCTTAAAAGTCAAATTTGAGCCAAATTTGAAACTTGATTTTCTCGAAACTGGTAGCTCCTCAGCAAAATCTGAATACATGTTTGAAAATGTCTCATTCTCAGCTTTCGAATGATATAGGTCTCATACCGAAGTTCCACCCCCCGATTACAACCTTCCCTAGTAAGATGAAATTTACAAAATGAAAAAAAAACTAACTTCTTCAGCTTTGACACCTCTAAGGAAATGACATTCATCGTGTCATTTCCGGAATCTTTCTTGAAAATTTCCAGGAATTTTTTGACTTGCATAGCTTTGGTGATCTGGGTGAAGAAAGTCGTCTTGAAGAGAGAATGAATACTAATGGTTGGTACCTGACGGTTCATATACTCCACTGGGGGCGGAGTCTTTAGGGTGGACCCAGGTGGGGTGGAACTACAATAAAACACACATTAGTCTCTTTTCTCTGTTCTCCGATAGTGTTGGCAAAAAGTGTTTTTACGAGTTTTCGCATTAGAGCGCGCTTGATTTTTTTTCCGCGACTTAAGAATTTTTGAATTTGAAGTTTTAAAACTAAATTCTTCCTCAATTTGAAATCAAAAGGAGGTTTTTAAAGAGTTTCATGAGACAAACTGTTAGTTTTTCCATTTTTTTCCCAAATAACACAGATTCTTTTTTTTTTAAATAGATTTTTTATAAATAGCACGATAAACATATACAATTTTACAGCGCATTTTCCAAAGATCAGCAAAACCACACGAAAAGACAAGGAGAAGGAGACTGGAGGAGATGCCAGCGACCCCACAAACCCCGCCGATCCATTGCCATTCCTCACCACTGCCACCATCACGACCAAGCACGGGAAATCTCTGAAGCAGCCAGCTCAATCAAATCATCTTATAGGAAAACGGAAGAGGACAGAAACAAGGACCAACTCGCAGCTGCGGTTGAAAATGAGTTTGTAAGTATTCTGATTTTTTTTTTCAATAATCATGAATTAAAAATTTCAGGTCTATGTTTATCAACTTCCGGCGAATAGGAGCTGCATAGAGCTGCTGAACACTATAACCTTCAGTTTTATGGTGAGTTTTTATTTTTCAAAAATTTCCCCCATTTTAAAAAAATATAATTGATCTTTCTTTGATAAAAAACGTCAAACGCAAAACTTATGGCAATAAACACAGTTTCGGTCTTAAAGGTGGGGAGACATGAAAAAAATGATGTTCTCGAAATTCCGTTCAAAGATGCCCCTCGAGGAGTTGAACTTGTGAAGGCGAGGATTGAGGGTGCGGCGCCGCTACCGACTGAGCCACGCGGGCAAAGAGAAAGCGGACGCCCGATTGCATACATAAAGGCGAGGACGACAGCTGTACGCAGAGTGACATTAAGCGTTGTACACCGTGACGGTAGAATGCATACTCTAGCTACAAAAAATCTACGAAAAATCTCCTGTCCCCTCACCTTTAAAGGAAAAAAAATAGTGACACAGTAAAGCCTGTGATAGAGCTCACTAACTTCTGCCTCTGAGTCAATTCATCTTGGTTTCTGTGGAAGATATAAAAAAGTTATCAACTGAAAAATTGTTTATTATGATATCAGCACTATTTTATCAGATGACACATTTTTGATATCTTTGGTAGGAGTAGAGATAATCGAGCTCAAAGTTGACAGTGTCAAGGCCTTTCTATTACAGGTTTTACGGTAGTTGTAGCTCGCTGAGAACATATCCAAACAAGAAACTTTCGGAAGAAAGTTACGTGTTCATACTTTGAAAAATGGGCCACCTCTGTCGAAGTGGAATTTTTCAATAACGGAAATATAAAATTTTTTCAAAATGAAAAATTATCGTAGTTTCTAATTCCAATTTTAATTTATTTTTCTTCAGGTGGATCCGACAATGGAGAAGGATCACGACGAACTCTACAGAGTGGCATGGGTCTCATCTATGTCGTCTATATCGTCATAAAATGGAGCGGGTAAGGATTTTAAGTTCTAGACAAATTAAAAAAAAAAGGTTGATTTGCAGGTTATTGAAGGAAATAGAGGAGAAATCAACAACATCCGAACGAGCCCTACGAACCCTGGGATGTTTGCCAC